GGGGAGTGAGTTGGAGGGTGGAGTGGGCTGCTTTTAACTATGTAAAGCACTTTGTGCTACATTTTTTGTATGAAAAGTGCTTTAGAAATAAAGATTGATTGATTGATTGATTGATTGATTGATTGATTGGTTGATTGATTGATTGATTGATTGATTGATTGATTGGTTGATTGATTGATTGATTGATTGATTGATTGATTGATTGATTGATTGATTGATTGATTGATTGATTGATTGATTGATTGATAGCAGTGGAATCGGATCTTAAAGTTGAACTAACCAAAAAATATCTAGTTAAGGAAGCATATTGGAAGTGGAAAACACAGTAATCATTTGAAAATCTGCTGAGGGTCAGAAACATTTTTTGGGGGGAAGCTAAAAACAACAATGTGTAAAAACTCTTCTCAAAATCCCTTAAAGACCGGTGAACTTGAACAGAGAATTTTAAGATGGATTCTTACCATATCTTCTGCAGCGGTACTCACAAACACCATTGTGTCCACCGACCAGTTCCACCAGGGAGTCGAAGTATCCGTGCGCAGTCTGGAAATTATTTCTAATAGAGTTGAGGCCCCAGCTGCTGTCTTCTTGTTCCTGTGCTGTTTTCTGGGACTTGTTTGTCTGAACTGGTCTGATCTCATTCGCCTCTTCCCCAGAAGAAGGTTGTTCCAGGCTCTTAGCTTCTTTAGTAAAAGCTTTCAGAGCAGGGCTGTCTCCAGGAGGCCCATCACTGCCTGGCACTGATTCTTTGACTGTAGCACCTTCTGCTACCACCTGGACATCTTCTTCATGTTTGTCACCTGATTGGCTACCCTTCACACCTATTTCACGCAGCGGTTTGTCACCAAAAACGCTGTTACCTGCATTTGCCTCAGCTGAAGATGAATCACCTACTTCAACAGCAGTGACACCTTCTTTGGCTACGTCAACAGAGGCATCTTCGGCAGCGACAACTGACTCAGCAGCAGGGCCTCCGTCCTCCTTTGCGTCAGTCTGGTAGTAGCCTAAAGTGGCACACGTCCCTGTGGACAGGCAGAGGAGGAGCAGGACAACAGTCCGAAGCAGCATGGTGTCGAAGTGGCAACAATCCAAGCAGAAGTGAGCCGTCAGTAACAAGATGGGAAGAGCTTAGACTGTGAGGGACAAAAACACACTTTGCCCCGACTGACTCTGTCATCCAGAGCGAAGACTTTGACCTCTGATTAGATTCCGGCAGACAGCAAAGCATTCCCTCATGTCAGGGGCAAAGGTCACCCTCTATCAATCCAAAGAAAAGCTTCAATGATTACACTAATTCTCTGTGATTATTTATCAAATGAGTACTGTCATCAAGGCTTTCTGCACACAGTTATAATTGGATTTCTTTTTCTTTTTTGCTAAGTCATGTGGAACTTGAACCTAGAGGAAAATCTCTTTAGGATTCCCGTTAACGCAACATATTTAATACCCCGTTAAAGGAAATACAGCATTAAAGAGAAATCCTATCCATGCTGACATTTCTCAAGACATTACAAACCCCTAGACTATCTTCACTGTTTATGATAAAGGTTACACACAGACACTTCAGCCCTGAATAAGAACAGAGGCAAACTACTGTTAATGTGACATAAGAGAGTGGAAGCATAACAGCATGAACGTTTATGTTATGTTATGATTTCAAGAGTAAAAAAGTTCCACGGCTCAGCTGGAACATCACTATGTGAAGAATACTAAGCAAATCTTTTCAGTTACACAGTAAAAGCAATATGGGAATTTTGCTTTAGTGCAGGCGTCTTAATTTCCTGCTGACACAATTTTCTCAAAAGTCTCTGCTGCCCTCTAGTGTTTGAAGAGTAGGTTGCTCCCAGTTATTCCATTACTTTATGTTTATATTTTAGATGGATGCTACACTGCTAGTTTATTTATGCAACGCATGACTAACTCTTATACACTCACATAGCATTATATATACAGTATACGTGTTATGTTATTGTATCTTATTTAACACTTAAGCTTTAAAAATTACTGCTAGACTAAAGCATCAGTAAATATAACACAACAATACTCATAAGGAGGATTTTAAATATCACTGTGTTAATATTTTTGTGCTTTTTCTTAGAATGCAGGATTGGAGTGAAGCATTTTAAAATGGTGTCATTGTTTGCTTTCCGATACTAGTAGTTTGTTTACCCACAGTAGCATTTGCAGCACGCTACAGCTGGGAACAAATATTTTCTAACTAATAACGCTGCACTGTTTTGTTGTCGACAGTTCCCAGATGTGAACTGATTAACATCTCTGATTATGAGTCAGCTATATCGACAGCATGGTGCATGATGAGGGTGAGTGTAGTTGAACTAAGTCTGTTAAAGAACAAAAAAAATCATCTGCATTTTGCTTGAGTCAGAGCTCAGGCCTTAACAGAATACAGGTAGAATGAAATGACCACAAGGTGAAGGTTACTGCCAAAAACGAGGTTCAACTATTAACCAAATCTGAGAGTTCACTTAATTTTGTCACACAGCACAGTGAATGTATTATAGGTCTATTCAATAACACACGAAAGATTTGTTTCTAAGTTATTAACTTTAGCGCGCTATGATTTTCCATACTTGAAACTGGGGCGACCAGATGATTTTTTTAACAAGTTCATGCACACAAACACTTCTGCCACCGCCTTATGGCGACTGGTGACGCCATTCACTCTGCTTGTAGATCTTGGTGTATTTCATCCCACAAAATCCTGTGGTAAAACACAGCATAGCAAGAAGAAGTAAGTAAAAATGGTCACAAACTAATCAAGTGCCACATATACACTGTTCCACATACCGTCTTATGGCCTTGCTTGCTTTCTCCTTGTTCAGCACTGCGCTGATGTTGTTTTCAAGATCCTTAAAAGACAGCACATCTGACTCTCACATAGTAAACATACATTTGAAATATCTAATACCTGCAATTAAAAATATAAACAAACAAACAAAAAACATGCTAAAAAAGACCCCCCTCTCATACCTTGCTAATGACCCTTAGATGCTCATTTGAGGCTATCAGCTTCAATATTTCAGTCTGGAAACAAACAGGCAAAAAGCACATTTCTTGCTAAACTCTTAACTTTTCTCAGTGTGATTTACAAGTTGAGCTATGCCTTTATAAGCCAGTGTGAAATGAGGCCAAATGTAGCACCTGTTGGTCTCTGATATGTCCTTTAGTAGCTGTGGTTGTAACAGTGGACACCAACTTCTCTTCTAGCTCTTCCTCCAGCTGTTTGATTTCCTTCCAAACATTCATTACTTGAAGCCTCTTGAACTGGATGCTGTCAGAATAGCCAGAGACACTCACAGTATCCTGCAGCCCTGACCGACATGTATCTGTTCAAACACAGATGAGGTGAACATGAATGCAATGCATAGAGAACTGATAAGAATTGATGCGTACTCATCATGGGCATGAATGCCATGGTAACTTTGGGCTTAATTTCTTTGAATTGTTGTTTACAGATGGGAGATGCTTTACAATTCCACCAGGGTGGCGTGATTGTAAAGCATACATCTTTAATGACTTAAAAAAAACAAGAATTTGGTGCAGAAGTTTGGATTTTCTCTAATCTACACAGGGTCAAAAGCACACATACAGACTCAAAAATATACAAACATTCACTTAAATCTTTTAATATGTGGTGCTAAAAGTTCTACAATGTCTTTTAACTTGACATGGTCCATTAACTTCTTGCTAGTGATGATTGACTAAAACTGGTAATTTCTCTTTGCCAGCATAGAAAAAATCCTTTGACAGTAGTCAATGGATTGACCAACACTGAGAAGAATGAGAAAAAGCACAAGTAATGCAGATGTGGCACCATGTTGTCAAGGTCTGGAAGAAGAGCCAAACTGTCACCCTCAGATGGGAAGAAATTAGGATGTTCAGAGACAACCAAACAACTGCCAAGACTAAAGCTTGTCATACGCTGGGAAATGCTGGAATAGCGTCATTACTATGGACTAAGAGGGTGCTCAACAAGAAAGAAGCCTTTGCACCAAAATGAAGTTCTTCAGGCTTGACTAAAATGTGCAGCGGTCTACATGAACAAGTCAAAAATCTTCTGAAGAAAAGTTTTATGGTCAGAGAAGGCAAAGACTGAGCTATTTGGCCATGGTGACAGAGGTATGTTCGGAGGAGTAAAGGAGGCTTTCAAAGCTAAAAACACGTATCAGCTGCCAAGCATGGTGGCGGTAGGATCTGGCTCTGGGGCTGATTTAATGCCAGGGGTACTGACACATTAAACAAAGTGGAAGGAATCCAAATTCTTCAACTTCACCTCAAATCAACAGCTAGATGACTGAAACTTGGAGACAACTGGGTGTTCCAACAGCACAATGATCTCAAAGACACATAAAAACTGGTTTTGGAGTGGATAAAGCAGGTTAACATTAAAACATTCTGGAACGGCATTCCCAAAACGCTGACCTCAACCTAATTAAAATTATGGTCTAAAAGCTTCATTCATTAAAAGGTCTGAATTACTATGACATTCATAACGATAGTGATCCTAACTGCATATGAAGACATCCCTGCTGGGATTAGAAAGTGACCACTGACACTACAACGTTGTTTTTTATGACTGTTGGCACCAAAAAGTGATTATTTGTTCACTCTTAAAGACCGCAGATATATCTAAAACTTAGCATGCTGTATAGAAAATTAACTGTTTACTAACAATAAGGTACAAAAAATATGTTAAGGTGGTCTTAAGACTTACTTTTCTTGTAACTGTCCTTCGGGTGCATGGCAGCTGAAATGTTCTGTAACTCATTTTGGACCCTGAGGTTTGAAAGGACAAACACACTTCAACTAAAGAGAATGTACATAAGTACAAGCCTGCTGTTGATACTTTGTTTTGTGATACCGTTTCCTCTCCTCTAGAGCTCTTCTAGCCTCATGCTCCAGCCTGCAAACCTCCTTTTCAGCATCGTCCAACTTGGTTTCGCTTACTTTGAGTGAAGTATTCGGTAACTGAAGCAAGAACAAAACATTAGGACCTAAATTATTTTCCAAAAAAGCAAAAGATGCTTGAGATTAATGCTGCTAGTAGCTTGGCTACTGCTGAAGAACTAAAGGTTTTATCCTTCTCTGTGGGAAGTTTAAATATTTACTGTTTAAACCTTGTTTAGAAATACATGTAGGCTTTTTTTTTTTTTAAAGAAACATTAACTGTAGACAAGGGACTGAAAATACCCACAAAATCAAATAACGAACTCTGTGACAAGTGGCATCTTTGACTCTTTGTACTGTGAGGAAATCTACGAATATCAGCACTGTTGTTTTCATTTTTAATGTAAAACAATTTCCATTCTTTAAAGGCAAAATGAGCATGAGAATATATTGTATAGGAACACTATGAATGAATGTCTTTGACACAAAAATGTCTGAATATCACAGTCATTTCTCAGGTTATGTCTTCAGTATGTGTGTCTTTGGGCAGTGTTCCTTACCAGGCTGCGTGGTGAGGACTGCAAACTCATCAGGTGGTTGACGTATAAATCATATTCTGTCTGGAAGAGAAAAGAAAGCTTTATTACAGACTGAGAATTATGTTGATTTAAAAAAATGTCCTTGTAGAAAATCCTTCAGAAAAAGATTTTACAAATTGTATGCACTGCAGCTTACTACCATGTTTAATAATAACAAAAAAAGGATTTCAGCTGCATGAAAAGTAAAATTGTGCACTTTGCAAACTGCAGCATGGGAAGTCTTTTTACTGACAGTCTAAGCAAAACTATCATGTGCAAAAGAAACTTGAGGCATTCGTTATGAATAAGCAGTAATGGAACCATCGCCCTCTGATGACCTCCTCTCTGATGCATCGCGACCAGGTTCCGGTGGCTGCTCTACTTGTACTTGCTACTCCAGGGACTCACTCTCTCTTGGCTCTAATACATCTGTCGGTACATGCTAAAAATGAGCTGGTGGGTACAGAGGAAATGGAAAAACCTTAATTTCCCTCAGGATGCGTCCAAACACTGGCGAGTCTTCACATACATCATCAAAGACGTCACTGAACACCGCAAGGCGGTCTCTGCTGGGCCAGCTCTGCGCAGACAACTTAATCAACCCCTGCGCACAAGACCACACACACAATATTAGCAGGTTAAAAGTGTGTTAGAGTGTATGCATGTTGAAGTCTGTGCATGTCTTTACCCTGTGTTCAGAGAGCACTTTAGGTTTACTATATCATGCAAAATGCAAAAAAAGAAAGAAAAAAGCAATTACAGACAGTTTATTGATGTCATGGTTTGTGTCACAATCCTCACCTCTTGCAGTTTCCTTGCATGCATTTCAGCAACATTTTTTACAGCCCAGAGGTCCGGTTTGGCCATGACTTGCCAGCCAAAGCATTTTTTCTTCTCTTGCTGGTTTTGGTTGTTCAGGCTGTCCTGGTCAGAACGGCTCAATGTGAAATGATGATTTACCCCCAGATCAGATGGAGATTTAGTTTTTTTCTGAGAACAAGCTTTCTGCTGGACAGGCAAAGTCCTTGAGGGACGGTAAACTATCTGAGATAGACTTATATGTTCTCTTCTTTCAGGATGTGATGTATGATCTTGTGTGTACCCCAAGACTCTAGGCTCTACTAAAGCTGTGCCAGAAGTGAGCTCAGGGGGGAACTCTTTCATTTCATTCTTTTTTGCCTTTGTCTGTATCTGCTGGAGAGATAGTGGGTTTCGACTTTCTTCTTGGCTCTGAGACATCCTCCAAAAAACCGACTTTGTCTCCTCTTGAGGCTGACTCTGGTTCAGGCTGCGAGGCCCCAGATGACCCGAGGAGTAGGCCAGGATATCAGCCTTCTGCCCGGCTTCAGCCGCCAGCAGCAGTCTGTGGATATCACTCCCATAGCGCCCAGGCTTTGGCTTCACACTGCTGGACATGGCTGTGAAGGCCAACTTATTGTTGTATAGTTGTTTTAAAGACATACGAGTAATAATATCTAATTATCTCAAGAGGTGTACAATTTCTTAAAATATTAAAAACATTCGTTATTCTTTCTGGTGAATAGAAATGCACCCTAAAAAGGAATTTTTCTCTCAAACGAAATCAAAATGACTTAAATTTTATGGTAAATCCAGACACTGCACAAATAATTCAAAGAGAGTTTACGCTTATAGCAAAACTACTAGTGCCTCACATTCACGTGATTAATTTATTTACTAAAGATCGTGCTGCAGGATAACAGAATGAAATAAACTCTCATTAATGACCTCACCTGTTAGCTAACTGTAATTTGGACAGGCTCAGGACAGAAAACAAACTTTCTTCATGGCCGCAGCAGTCTGTGCTTCACTCGGTTGCCAAGGTGATCGAAGTGCGTAATGTTTGTGCTGCGTTCAGTGTCCCGATAATAATCGTACCCGTGAGCTTTCAGGCGCTAGTCCTCACCTGGACCTGACGAAGAAAACAGCTGGAGTGAGATTGTAGAGTACTCTATGCGTTAAGTAAGTTTGTGTTCATAGATATCTAAACATTAACGCAATTATGGGATCAGCTTACTTATATTCAAAGAAGGGAACTATTAAAAACATTTACATCTATAAAAAAATCGTTTCATTATTTGATAAGAACTCCAGTGCTCTTCAATAAATACTACATATGTTCCTGCACAGAACGAGAAATTAATACAAATCTTTGTGAAATGGGGAAATGTTGTTACTTGTAAAAACTTTATTCAAACTCTTCACTTCATCTTCACCTGGTTCTTTGTAATAAGTGGGTTATTATGTGCATTAAACACAGGGTCCTGAGGGAGTAGGAGAAAAACAGTGAAACATGGACTCAGGGTTCAAGTCACCAGAATACACAGATGGCAAAATTGAACATGAATAAAAAACTGTAATGTATTTTATTGTTGCAACAACGTTTTGCATTCATTTGCATTCTTATTTTGTCCACTACCTCAACATGTAAAATGTTATCATTAGAGGTTTATTTAATGACTATTCACATATGAAATGCCACAGTCCATCTCTAGTCTGAGCAATGACTTAATTTAAGTAATTTAAGTTCCCTTAGTCAAAATGTAAATTTAAATTGATCATCTCTGTGGGAAGAATGCAGTCAGATTAAATATTGTTCATATTGTTTACTGAGAATTTGTAAAGAAATGTTTTTTAATAGTCAGTAGGCAATGGCGCCAAAAAGATACTACATAATTATATGAAAAAATATGAAAGTAAGACAGAATTGTACAGTGAGTCATCTTTTTGTCTTTTTACTCCGTCAATCCAAATGTGCTTAAACTTTCCCTCCCTCCATAGCACCAGCTGCCAACTGTTTAACACAGTGATGGATCTGTAGTTTTGGGCAGCCATCTTGTAGAAATTCGATTGTTAACATGAATGATAACGGCAGCGGATGAGGCTTTATTACAAAACTAGTTCAGTCAGCTGCAAGCCTTTGTCGTGCAAGCACAATAAGACAACTATACACACTCCCAGAATTCCAAGAGGAGATCTCAGGAACTCATCTTCTTAAAAGAAACATTTATGACATTCAGATTTTGCCGACTTTCGTATTCTTTCACTACATTTGTTTGACCAGCTCAAAGGGCAAAAGTGATATTACAGAGTGAATTAAATACAGTAATTATTACAGAGTTACCATAAAGTGTTGATACTGAAATGCTATAGATGCTATAAATGATAAACACTCTACTTTTCAGTTTATTTATAGCTGCAAACAAGAGGCCATTTCACAAATTTCCTGAAATTTCTAATAACTCAAAAGTATTAAAAAGTATTCTTTTCTTTTTTCATTTTTTTTTTTAGAACAATTAAAAAGTAGGGTGATGCTACTGACCATTCAGGGGTGATGCATTGTTACTGATCATTGAAACAGGCCCAAGAAAGAAAGGTATGTAGGTAATGAATAAACTGGCACAAAGGTGTATTTTCAGGTATTTATTAAAAGTCATTTGGGCTACTGCTCTTACATGTACAGTTAAGACATTCCTCAGTTATTCTTGGTAACAGTAACATGTCTAGACTGTTTAATTTATCTTAATGTTTACTTTGTACAAAACAAAAAAAGGCCAACATTATTTTTCTTTGTATAAAAAATATAAGTTAATTTAAATTTAACTCTAATTAAGAAAATAACAATAGTAATAATAGCAATAATAATAATAATAATAATAATAATGATAAGCTAAACATAGTGCAGACAATAGGATATAACTGGTGCTGAAAAGTAGAAGGGACAGTGCAGTGACTTTATCATGTTGTCAGGTGGGGTTGGAGTGGGGAAAAGACAAAGCTTTCTTTCATGCTCGTGCTCTCTCTCTGTGTCTCTCACATACACACACACATGCGCACACACACACTCACACACACAGTCAGAAAGTGCGCGACTGCCATTCAGAGTAGCACCATCTCAGTCTGTACAAACTAAATCCTAGATTGTACACAGTATACACCTATATGCAAAAAGTTTGAATATAAAGTTCGGTTTAGGTGCATGCTAATTGTTGCTCTTGGTTGAAGCTTACTGGAAGCAATTCTGAAAAGTAAGACAGAGCACATGGTGGTAACTGATGGCGCGCTTACCCACGTGCCACCACCGAGCGTCTACAACCAACGAAACATTCATCGAAATGTACATTCACAACACCGGGGGCCGCAGTATCAGTCGCATAACAAATTACTGGAGCAATAGTGTCAGTCTCTGAGGGACACTGTCCACTGGAATGACAGTTTCAGACAAATAAATTTGTCTTTTGGAAGATCTCGGAAACTCATGTGAAAGCGTCCAAATG